AGTTATGAGCGTGACATGAGTCAGCACATTTACAATTCTACTATGCTTGAACGAGAAATGTCCCCCCTTTGGGAATGGTCTAAAGACACTACACACAACCCCGGGGGGTATAACACATGAATATCATTTTGAAATGACAAACAAACATAAGCAATGGGTGTATATAGACAGAAATGACAAACGTTTTTCCGTTATTTGAACATTTGGCGCAAGTTCTTGTGTGAGTGTGGGGTTGTTTTATTTCCAACTACAGATTCTATCTCGATTTCAATAAAAGGGAATAGCGGATCAGGATCAAAATACTGGAAATGCTGTAAAAAAGCGGAAAAGTGGCATCCCTGGTTATTTAAGAGGCCGGGCCTCCTACTTCACTCCTGTAAAGAACGAGGCTCTTGACAAGAGGGAGTGAACATGTATAGCTCCCCTGCACTCAGTATAGTGCATTTTAGCACCGGGTAAGTAATTGTTTCGAGGTGATAAACAAGAGAAGAGGGATGCACAAACACAGGAATTATTGGTGAGTGTCTGTGCTCAGTTTGTTTTGTTTTGTAGTTTTTTTTAAAAGCTGGGGTGGGGGGTTGGGGTGGTGTTATTCATACAGCAAAAATTCCATGTTAAGTGGACACCACCGTAATCAGGTTCAATTTCGTTTTATTAATTTCAACACAAAAAGCAAAAATAATGGAAAATAACTTTCAAGAAATAAAATCAGAAATAAAATAAATTAAAATCTATAGGCCAGTCCAATGATAGTATTGATAGTAATGCTAAATCATTAAGTGACCATTGCTTACCTGTACTCATAGTTCTCATCAAAATACTTGTCAGAATATGCAATTTGATCTTGTGGCATTGTCGTCAGATTTCCAGAGATTCAAATGGCCCGCTGCTGTTGGAACCTGCAAAGGATTTTTATTTATTTATTTCTTAGTAGAGGTTTTACGGCGCTCGCAACTGCATACGGTCATGAGAGCGCCAGAAGATTAGAAGTGTTACAAGGGAGTAACAAACATAAAAAAGAAGGAGGGGAGATAAGGACAATAATAGATTTTTGAAAGGAAAGAAGGAGCAAACCACACCAGAGCACCCACCCTGCAAAGGATAATTATGGTAAAAAATAGTAAAGGGGGAGAGAAAGTCAATCTTATTCGAGGTTGTGTTGGCACTTCAAATAATCTTGAGCTGAAATGAAACCATTTATAAATCAATAAGCAACTACTATGGTCAAACCTTGTTATTTTTTTTTGTAAAGTGTTTTGCGGCGCTCGCAACTGCATAAGGTCATATGAGCGCGCGGGACACACCTATTATTTTCAGTTGGTAGGAAATTTTGAATTTTGCCCGCGTGGCGGTCGAAGCCTACTCTTAGGGTGCTTAGGCGGCAAACGTAAGTGAATGCGTGGTACCGAAGCTCGATTTACTTTCGCTTTCGTTACCACCCAGAAATTTGCCGGCACCAGTCTGATTAACGCAACATTTGTAACATACAGGTTGTGCATACAAACGTTGTGTCGCCATGAAAATAAATCATTGTCTTTTGCTTTCACTTGCGGAAAAAAAAGAAAGCTATACAGGCGTCTTGTCGGGCTCGACATCGTGACCGGTCAGTGAGCCTGTACCTTCGCATCACATTGTGAGTACCAGTGATCGTTGGGGTCACCAAAGTTCATTCAAAGTGTGCGCTGTGCGAAGTATAGGGCTCCGGAATGGGGGGACTATCGATTTTTTTAAAAGGTACAGTCGGGGGGAGGGGTGAGGTTGAAGGCAACACTGGATGACAAAAACTGAACTTGGAAAGCAAGCAAATTTTAATATTTAGAATTTTGATTATTACTAGAGCTTCCTGCTACAGAAAAGCATGCATTGGTGCAAGCCTTGTACGGAATTGGGATCCGTCATGGCTCAAACCTATTTATATTTATAAGTAAGCCGTGTTTTTAACTAAAAGGTCCGCGTTTCATTGGATGGGTGATAGTACGTTTGTTTCATTGTCCTTTGGTTTTAAAAGAGGTATGACCTCATCAAGTGCATACTTTTTTATTGTCTCTCTCTCTCCCTCTCTGTTTTCTGAGTCTCGTTCTCTCTCTCTCTCTCGTGATATTATTACATGCAGGGTTGGGTTGATTTAAATCAGGTTGATTTAAATCAGTTGATTTTTTAAATTTAAATCAGTTGATTTTTTAAATTTAAATCAACTTGATTTTTTTTATAAAAGTCAGTGATTTAAATCACTTTTTTTTAAATTTATTTTTATTCAGTTTTTACATATTTCAACATTCAGAATTCCCTTCCTTGGTTTCATAAAACAGATATAAGGTTAAGTAGACTAATATAATTCATGTTTAAAAGTCTGTTTTCCCACCTTTCACTGTAAAATAATACAGTATTCAATTTACTTTTTTTTCCATTATAATTGAAATCAGAGCTGGGTTGA